TATATGTTTGCGTCTTACAATATTATACAAAACGGAATCGTTTTCAGGCGAATTCGACTCTTTACTGTTCACTTAAAGGAGCCGAATTCGACTCTTTACTGTTCACTTAAAGGAGCCGATTCATTGAACAGAACTGACTCGACTCGACCGCAAACAAGCGCCATCACCACAGACAACGCCGTCGTCTCTTCACCCAACGGATTCATCCTCGGTAAGTGTTAAAATATGACTTTTGTCCGTTAAATGATTGTTGTATGTGTATTTCTGTATAGTGCGTGTCATTTAACAGGAATTTACCGAGTACTTTAGTTGTACTCGCACGGACAGGGTTTAAGCGCGCCTTTTTTTAAAGCAAGAAATTAACGACGCCAGATGGTGATTGTAGTGTTTTCTGAGGTAACGTTATTAGCATAACGTTAACGTTAGTTCCTGAAAAAAGAAAGGGAATTTTCTTTAATTAACTTCTTGTTAACTGCATTTTCTGTTTCAGTACAAGACTGAAGTAAAGGTGAAATGACTATAACGTTAAGGTAAGCTCTGACCTTCACTTAAGTTAACGTTACGGTTAGTGACCATCATGTATGTTAATTTTGTTCACTGTAACGTTAACGTTAAGTTAGTTAAATAAACTAAACTCATTATGAAACAAGTCTTAACTGTTTTATTAAATGAGGCTTATAATACAATTCAGTTGTATTCTTTTAAACTAACACTAACACAGTACATATTGTATATTTCTCACTGGTGTTAATGCAGTGCTAACATTTACTAATGAGAACTAATTGTATATTGTCACTAACTGTAGATTTTATTTTTTGGTGTTCAGGTGTACCTGATAATAGCTAAAGTGTGAGATGAGTGTAAATTCTGAGCACACAAATATAACCTAAATTCATTATCACAATCTAAACCTATATATATATAGAGTGTGTGCGTGTGTTAGGTTGAGTCTTATTCTACTCTTATTATATTCAAATTTTTTTGCAGCCACAGCCACTGATGTTGAAACACTGATGCTACCAATCAACCCTCGCTTGATTATTAAAGGTAATGTTGATGCCTTCCTCATTTTTATTAGATTTTTAAATGTCAGGTTTTTCACAGATTTGTTGTGAGCAGTTTCTTGTACAAACTCTTTTTCTTCTTCAAGAAGTTCCACCAGTACCTCCAGTAGTAGTAAATATTAGACAAAGATTTTTTTAAACTATAGTTTTTTATTTTTATTAGCAATTTTACTGGGCATGTGTGTTTGTTTGCTTGGTTTTTAATAAGCAGAGCATGGAATGTCAACTTTGTTTCTACAAACAAATTTAATTATTCACAAACACCTCTAATTTAGTCCTTCTTTCCCCCTTTTAGTCTTATTCCTTGGAGGGTCGAGTGGTCATGGGACCTCACCTGGATTTCACAACTGACTTTGAATCTGGTCTGAAACTGAAGTATGCTGAAGATGCCTTTTGCACTCTGGAATTTAAGGTAATGTCTACAATAAATATTGTAACTGAGGGCTTGTTTTGGGGGGGGGTTAAACAAGGAATGTATAGGAGCACAAGTCATGACTCCCCTTGTCCCCTTGTTATAAAGGGCCGTGTTGCAGACACAAATTGTTTGTCTGTGCTGGAGACCAGAGGGGAAGCTGTCTTTAAAAGGATGGGGCTCTTATACCATATGTGAAGTTACCTATTCAGGTGAGTGGATTACATACAAGTCATTGCAAATGCATAAATAGTGGGAAATTTTTACTGGGAAGCACAAATTAAGTGAAACTCAAAAAACGTTGAAAAATATTTGGAATATTTGCAAAAAAACTTGATTGAAATGAATACAACACAAGTGCTATATCACTTCAATCAAGTTTTTTTTTGCAAAATTTTCCTAATATTTAAATCATAAAAAATTAGCTTGATGCAAGAAACATCCTGCTAGTATTCAAGAGCAAGTACTGTGATGCATGTGTTAACTTTGCAATAAGTGTGAACCCAGCATTAGATTATAGTCTGTAAACAGAAGATGTAAATCAAATCAACTGTTTTAAAATGCTCTGCCTAGGTCATTAAAACCACTATTTGTTGTTGGACTGTTCTTGATTGTGTGTTTGTGATGGAAATGTTTTTCAGATGTTTTTGTTTAAATGATTGCAGTTCGACTGAGCTACAGTATTGTCAGCATGTTCAAACTGAGCTAACAGTAATTTTGCTCTGTAGTGCAGCAGTAGTGTCCCAGTAGTGTTGTATGAAGCTAACTGTTTGTCTGCCCTTTTGCTTATAGGTGCTTTTTGGGCACCAGTTTGGAGATGGGAGACAGACGAAGTCAAAGAAGCAGAGAAGACACATCAACCAGCAAGTGTGTAAAATTATCAGGAAAATGATTGACCTTGAATAGACGACTGCCTAATTTAGCAAGAAGTTTTGTCTCTCTCTCTCTCTCTCTCTCATGTATATATATATATATATATATATATATATATATATATATATATATATATATATATATATATATATATAATGAGAGAGCGCACTCTGAAGCACTGCTTTTTATATGTATGCTACATATGATGTCAGATTTTTTTATGAATATGTTCTTATAGTATTTTTTGAGGCTTCACCTTCACCTTTTGAAAGTTTTCTGAAATGTTTACACAGATGTCATTAAGCTGTTAAATAAATCTGTAAAATGTATGTGTGTTTGTTTTTATTTTGATTTTAGAGTCTTCTCAGATCACCCAAAAATGAAGATTCGGTCGTCATTTACGCATCCTCAGGTTGTTTGGACACAAAGAGGATTATTTGATATTTTTATTCCTGTGTTTAAACAAAAAAACATTTTTAACAGAGCTGGAACAACCTGAGGGTGAGTAAATCAAGATAGAATTTTCATTTTTGTGTGACCTAAAATTGCTTTGAAATTTTACAGCACCAAACTGTTAAATTACAGTAATCCGGGATATAATTGTAACTTTACAGTTAAATCAGGTATTTAAACTGCAACCTACTGCTAAATCACAGTAATCGTTTTGCAAATTCACAGTAAAATATAGTTAATTCTACAAGATAATACTGTAAAATCACAGTAACAGACTTCATTATCTACTGTAAAGTTACAATATATGGTTGTAATTTCACAATAATTTAATGTGACAAAACCACAGTAAATTACTGTGAACTACCTCACAATAATTTACTGTGAATTTACATACAGTAATTTACTGTGAAAGTAATGCAATTATTAGCCAGTAATTTACTGTGAATTTAAGGTCAAATTTTTTACAGTGTAACTTGTCATATAATGTTTTAAAGTATACAGAAAGCATTGGAAACAACGTGCAAGTAAGTGAAACACAATCTATCACGCACCCTTCTGTTATTATAATAAAATATAAGCTGAGTTCATCTAGCACACACCCCTTAAACAAATATTTTGAGTCGATGCCCCTTGGGTGGGTATAAGGACAGTAAGATGTTCCACACATCATTATAAATTAACTTTTGTGCTTGAAGCTATTCAGTTACTAAGTGAATTTTATTCATAAACTAATTTCGAGAGGATCACGTGCTTATGATTTAGCACGGCCGGTCTCCCATTTGCTAATCACTATCTTCCAATCATATGAGCCCTAAGCTACTATAAATAGCCTCAGTTTTCAGTTCACTTCGTTTGGAAGAAACCCTTCTCCTCCCCTATTCTTCTCCTTTACCTCTAATTGGGCGGCCCGGTGGTTAGCACTGTGAGCCCCACAGCAAGAACACTGCCAGCCCTGGTTCCACAGGACCGGTGGGTGTTTCTGTGAGGAGTTTGTATGTTCTCCCCGTGTCCGCGTGGGTTTTCCCCGTGTTCTCCAGTTTCCTCCCACCATCCAAAGACATTCAACATACATAACAATCAAGCTTTTGTCTTACCCCTTGTGTTCCCTTAGCTACCGCAGCAGGGGAGTTCTGAGATCCACCGAGCTCAGGCTCCCCTCTCGCTCTGCCAACGGGAGGAAGCCCCGGGCTCGAGGAGCCCTTGAGCTCGGGGCTCTGTCCCGGGACAGCATGCCAAACAAGCTTTTATAAATCATCAGCTAAGTGTGAACTCTTGAAATAAATGTAGTTTTATATATATATATATATATATATATATATATATATATATATATATATATATATATATATATATATATATATGTGTGTGTATTTTTTTAAAATAATTTAATATTATGTTTTAATTTTTTTTGTCACCATCTTGTCAGAAATAATTAAAAAAGCTTTAAACTTGAAACTTAAATCTAGCTATGTTGTTTGTTGATCATCTAGATAAATAAATAAATGAAAAAAAAAACTAAATATTTTTACAAGTATATAAAAATGGACTCTTCAGATACAGAATTCTGTCAATTTACTGGTAATTTTAAAGTAGTTGTTTTTAATGATTTTCTCAGGCATTTGGCCTTTTAATTTAATTTTATTTTTTGTATTCAACAGAAGAAAACATCTCATAAAGGTTTAAAACCACACAAAGAGAGAGCAAATGATGGTAGTTTTCATATTTAGGCAAACTATGTCTATAAAAAATTTAGCTGACTACAATCTAGCAAACCAACTCAAAGCTCTACACACAAACAAACTTAACTGAATTGACAGTTTTAGCTCAGAGCGCTCTCAGACTCGCCTCAGGCCGTCACGCCATCCTTACATCTCAGCCCTGCTTTTACCATGTTACCAGATCCTATAAAAGAAAACAACTTTGTGGCGTTTTTTTGTTAGTACTGCGAAATGAAAGTCATAAAACAGCTCAACGGCACAATGTGAACCCTGGGAAATTTCTCCAAACTTCATTCCGGCGGTGTAAATGATTGGACTGTCAAATATCACACCCAAGCATTTGGCTGAAGCCTAGAAAAGGCCTGCGGCTCTCTCTTTGTGAAATTCACATCAAATAAATACACCAGGACGGCAGTGCGAGGCCTGAAGTGAAAAGAGCTCAAAGAAAGCTATCTGTGTGCAATCTCTGGAGAGTCTCACCACACTGAAGTCTTCAGGACGGCATGGTGAGCCTCTGAACTGGCAGGAGAGCAGCATGTCTTTAATGTCGTGTCCTGTTCTGTTGTAAAACTCCCACATGTTGAAATGTCGCGGCTTAAAAGAGCGAAAGTCGGTTTTGCTCTTGAGAACCTCCATCACGCTTTCTTCAACCAGGTGAGCTTCTCGAACTTCATGCCTACAGACGGATAAAAGAACGAAGAAACACAGAAGAACATGAGAAAATAGTCTTTTAAAATCCTAAAAATAAAACTCCAAGTAAGGGTTTTCAGCTTTTGCTTTTTCTAGTAAACAATGCTTAAAGGGCCATGAAACCCCCTTGTTTCAGCAGGGTGTTTTCACACCTCTACTTTGGAAAAAGTCAGAAAAGTGGGCGTGTCCAGCTCTGTTTAGGGGGGAGTGTCGGAGGAACTGAAGTGGGATGGTGTGCTAGTGTCTATTTAGGCACGCGCTGACTTTCCGAGTGAAAATACACACCCACACAGGGGACAAAGTGACTGTGTTTACATGGACATCTGTAGTCGAATTATTTGACAAATTATTAAATGGTGGACTTTAACTGCAGTTTGGCTAAATGCGGCAAAAATCCTACACGAGGTTAAAGTTTGGTTGTGGTGCTAACATGTTTGTACTCGGTGCAATAGTTAACTTAGTTCGATACGAACAAACTGAATAAACAAAGAGCACTGGTCGCTCACTTACCAAATCTTTAGAGACAGGACAATCACCAGCAACTAGAGCCGCGTCTTTATTAAGAGAATACTACAAGCGAATCCGGATTTCAGCGTTTGCAGATGAGAACAGCTCTTAGGGAAACAATAATCCTTCTTAGACACGTAAGTTATTGTTGTCGAGCGTCGCGTACACTGTTAATCCACACGTGACTCTGCGCTCTCACAGAGAGAAAATGAAAACAAAGCTTAACTGCAGCAAAGTATAAAAGCAACACTTCACGTTTGTTTTGCCAACACAACGTGGCGTCTCTGTCGTCTAAACACTGTGACAGTAATGAATATTAATGAAGTTGCACAATAGAGCGTGCTGATTGGTTTGAACCAAGCTTTACTCATGCATTAATGCATCACACTGTAAGACGTAATAAGACACACTCTGGCACAGACGTCCAGTCTGCACGCTGGAATACAGGCTATTATGTCATGACCGTGACGCAGCTTCAAAAATTCGTTTCAAACCGGAAGAACGAATTTGCTTGAAATAACGCAAAAACAACCAATTTACACTTTTTAGTGAAATATAGGTGTCCTAATAGTGTTTTTAGCAGTGTGGGACACATATACGACTGTCAACAGCTCAAAAAATGTGTTTTGGTGTTTCGTGACCCTTTAAAGGCATAGTTCACCCAAAAATAAATATTTACTCACTATTTACTAAATATTTACTCACTATTAAGTGCTTTACATAGTTTCTTTCTTGAAGTTTTCTCACATGGTCACCCACTAAAGCTAAGCAAGCCTGCACCCGTTCAGTATCTGGATAGAAGACCACACGGGAAAGCTAGGTTGCTGCCGGAAGTGGTGTTAATGGGACCAGCAGGGGGCGCTCAACATGCCGCCTGTGTGGGTTCTAACACCCCAGTATATTGATGAGGACTCTATACCGCTCATTAAAGGTTCAAGAAACCCTCAGGTACTTTTTTTGAGATTTTAACAGGTTTGCGTGTGTTGAGCATCACTTAAGGGTGCTTTCACACCTACACTTTTGTTTCGGAACCTGTCTTGTTTGCCCAATTAGCGCAGTTCGATTGGCTCCAAACAAACTCTGGAGCGGATCGATTGTAGTGAGAAAGCAAATGATCCGAGCACGGTTATATCAGTGTTTTATGGATATGTAAATAGGCATACGGCTATATGAAGAGAGAATTATGAGTAGGGCGGGAGGTCATTCAACAGACATCCCAAGTCTCCCGGAAGTTTCGGCAGTCTCCCGCGCAAATGCACAGACACTCCAGGATGCCTGCAAACGAATGATAATCTCTCGGTAATTACGCGTCTCCCTCCCGGTCCTCAAATTCATGACGCACCCTTCTCACTCCTCCCCACTACATCCCTCCTTGCTCTTCAGACACATCACGCGCACCCTGTCAAACACCACCAAACCACCACCCCCCATGACAGCTGAGCAGGACTCTGCAAAATAAACCGTGAAACTCTGACCAGTGTGAGGAGAGTTTACTCACACGTGACTTGTTTTAGCTCTTTTGGTCCGTTTAGAAACTTTGCCGTGTGAAAGCGAACCGCTTCAAGAGCAAAGAGCAACAATGTCACAATTTGAATTGCTGTTCGGGAACAACTGAAATGATTCACAGGTGTGAAAGCACCCTAAGACAATGTAAGACAATAAGACAAAGCACCTGTCAGCTTTAAATTTGGGGGAAACTGGAAAATTTTGAGCTTTTGTCAGCCATTTTCAGCTTCCGGGTTTAAAATAATTTTTGGGGTGGATCAAAATCGTTGACTTAGCGCAAAACTGCAAGTGAAGTGATGATGCGTCGGTTTCTCATTATTATTCATAGCGGAGTTGTCTTATCCTATGAGAAGAGCCGGCTTCTTAATTATTCATGACTGCACGTGCTTTCCGAAGGCAAGACAGACCTGCTAGTGCCAAGCTGTCAGATCCTATGTTGATGAGTGGGTGAGACCGCATCCACAGACCCACGGCACACAGTATTTAGCGGTTCATGAAGGGTCGAATGTGTTTGTTTCCATGCTCCATGGGGTTTATTGTATGTTTTTTCTCCACGATCCTGTCAGGGCCGATACAGCAAAGCTGTTTGTGTGCAGCAAGCATTTTTGTCGGGAGAGCAGTACGAGAATTGGAGAATGGTGGACGTTGTCTTTTATCAGTGAAGTTCGTTCACATTTAGACACACCGCCATGCTGCTGTGTTCGCCTAAATCCTCCAGATTAGAGGTCTGCATTCCCGCGGCTGTCCCGCGGGCGCCGCAGGACCCGACCAGATTTCTGCGGCACGGAAATAAATTTTCAAATAAATCGCGGAAGCGGTCGGTAACGGGTTTAATTTGGGACGGGAGCGGGCTGTCTAGCAATATCGCGGATATTGCTATGCGAATGAGAGTGTGCTTGGTGCTTGTGTGTGTGTATGTTAGTGCGCGCGCGCGCGAATGAGAGAGAGAGAGCTTTCCCAGATAGCAAAATACACTCGGGCCAGTTCCGGCTAGATTCTCGCCTGCCGGAGACTTACCACTCGGCCCGGCTCCGGCTGCCGGACTCTGGATGCTTGTGGACTCACTGCCCGATTCCGGCCCGAATCAATCAGGCCAGATGCGGAGGCCGTAAGTGAGCCAAATCGGCTCGAGAGTAATGTGCGCTGCGGCCCGGAGCTGGCGCGACTCAGTATTTAAATACCTTTATATAAAACCTTTTGGTATTACATTGGTACTTGATACATGGTATTACAAGCCTTTGAGTTGATATAACAGCAAACGCCTGTGTGTGTGCTTGGTGCTGTGTGTGTGTGTTTATACAGACAGCTTGGCTGTCTGGACTGTATAGCTGGGGGATTTTCGGTTTTGTTTTCCCCCGCTCTTTAGCGGGTTCGGGCGCGGCGGGCAGAAAACGGGGCGGGGCGGGCAGCGGGACAAAATACTTAATATTAGCGGAAGCGGTCGGGTTCGGGCTAAAACCTGGCGGGTGCGGACGGGAGCAAAATTTAGTCCCGCGCAGATCTCTGCTCCAGATTACCAACAGGGCTAATGGTTAAAAGTGACAGGGCAAGAGACCTGCTGCACTGAGTCTGCATTCAGACTCTAGAATTGAGAAGGGGAGAAGTCTTCCATTTATATTTTGTTTCCTTTTTCAAATATTTCCCAAATGATGTTTAACATTCAAGGACATTTTTACAGTATTTCCTGTAATATTTTTTCTTCTGGAGAAAATCCTATTTGTTTTATTTCGGTTATAGATTAAAAGCAGTTATTCATTTTTTTGAAAAACATTTTATGGTCAATGGTATTAGCCCCCTTTAAGCAATATTTTTTATTATTATATTTATTATTTATATTATTACGCCTCAAGTCTAGGGAAAAACAACATGAGCATAATAAGGGAAAAAAGAAATGTTGTGGGTGGTGGATTTCTCAAAAAAAAAAAATGATGCAAAAGATCCTCTTCGGTCGACAACCAAACTCGGACTCAGAGTTAAGAGTAATTGAACAGACTTTTCATATAAAATTAGTAGTTTAAATGAGGATCTCTTCAAAGTGGCCACAGGCTAAAAAAACAAATGAAAAAATCTACAAAGTAAATGAACAAAATTACCAATAAATATTTAAAGAAAACTACAGGAAGCTTATCTTCCTCCCTAAACATAAACACAGTCAAAAGTAATGAAATAAATAGGCAGACCACCTCTACAAGCTTAAACTCTTAAAAGCTTGTAAGCATACGTTACATGAAAAGTTGTACAAGACTAAAGTTTGGTCGTCGGCCAAAGGGGCAGGAAAAATCTAGGCGCTCTCCACTCCAAGCAACAGTCGCACCACGAAAGAGCTCACTAAACCCTGCTGGAAGTTCCTTTTTATAGGGTTCCGCGACCAGCAGCCAATCAGAGGTTGGATCATGTTAGAATGGGAGCCTATGTAATAACAGAAAACAACACAAGAAGGCGGGACAAAGAAAAAGACGCATGTAATGCGCAACGAAAATAAATAAATAAACTTCAGTCATAACAGATTGTCGACAAAACAAACTATCGTTATACATTAACTTGCCTAATTAAACTAGTTAAGTTTTTAAATGTCACTTTAAGCTGAATACTGGTATGTTAAAAAATATCTAGTAAAATATTATTAATTGTCATCATGGCAAAGACAAAATAAATCAGTTATTAGAAATGAGTTATTAAAACTATTATGTTTAGAAATGTGCTGAAAAAATCTTCTCTCCGTTAAACAGAAATTGGAGGAAAAAATAAACAGGGGGCTAAGAATTCAGACTTCAGCTGTAAATTCTAGACATTTTTCAATTGATCTCTTTGTAAAAACAAGTGAGGAAGCCATAGTGATTTTGAACGACAGGTGGGCGAGTAATCGACGACAGAACAGGTGTTATGCAAATAAAGACATACAAAATCTAGATTGAATCTCAGTAGGACTGCGTTTATAACCGAGCCTCGAATGTCAATATTTATCCAGTGGCC